AAAGAACACAATAATCTGTCAGTCAATGTGCATAGAGGAATTATGCAATGAATGAAACTCCCCTTGTAGTTAGCACCAGCATACAAGTGCATACACAAACTCATTTGCAAATTAAAAAGCCCCTTGCAAACATACAGAGTGAAGCATATGCTGAATGTGAATATCTACTAGCAATGATAGAAGATTTTTCTTATGCAAAATAGTATACCTATAAGTGATAACTAACATCATGGAGTGAATGCTATGACATTCCTACAATCAACGATGATTCAGTGTCAAGAAAAGGTAGTAATTTTCCTGCAAGCAGAGGCGATCAATACGCAACAAATACGAGTAGTAGAAGAAGAAATACATTCAATGTAGCTCGCCAATGATAAAAGCGGGAGGATTATAATTCATATAAATGCTACGATTTACCTTTAAATAGAAGCAGGAAAATTATAATAAAAACTACAAAGTACTAATAAACCAAAGCAGCGGATTTGTAGTGCTAGACAGAAATACATTCCTACGTGTTAAACACTAAAGAAAGTAACAACATGCATGAGATGAAATGAGCTAAGTTACGCCGCTAGATCTGCAACACTTATACAAGCGAACATAAGGTATTTACATATTCTAAGATGAAATCATGTGCACACGTCAACAATAGTCACTCGCATAACATACCATGGTGCATTATACAAATGAGCCATTCAGAATGTAAAATATATTCATATAAACACTATGATTCACCTGTAAGAAAAAGTAGGGAATTAATAGTAACAATTATATACATGCAACTGATAAATTGAGGCAACATATTTATGATGTCAGACCATCACACCAAATAAATCAACTTGCTTGCAAGCAACAGGTGGAAGGCTCTTGATGAAATGTAGAGCCTTTTCAAGCTGGAATACAATCCTCGCAGGCTTAATACTGAAGAAAAAGATAGTGACATGTAGATGATGAAGTGAGCTAAATTATATTGATTATACACAATAAGTGAAGTACAACGCTATGCCATCGAATCCACAATGCTTAAACGAGCAGGCAAAAGGCTTTCGCATACACTAAAATGAAACCTTGTGTGTATATCAGTACTAGTTATTTACAAAGCTACTTATAACTGCATGTTGAAAAAACACTACCTTAATGTATTAAGATATGATAAACCGCATGGGCCCCGACGAGCATGTCGTATACACACACATGATGTCTGCAGATATTAAGTTGGTCAAGAAATAAACTTAAGTTTGAGCCCGATCCTTTTATTTAAATAGATATGAGTCGACATAGCTTGAATCATCAAATAAATATACAATTATGGCACTAACCGAGATATTTATTTTATACGTTCATATTAGGCCTTCAATGTCTATAATAAGAAAATTCACTAATAAAGATATAAAGTCAAAGAAGATTCCTATCTTCTATCGAAAGTAGATAGAGTTGACAAGGTTCAACCGATAAAATAAAATTGTCCGTAAAAAACCTTAATGATTGACGTATTGACAGAAAATCTCAACAGGGGGTCCTAAATATTTGAAAAATGCCTCCCAAATTCTCACAAAAATTCAAAACTTAAAAATAACTTATTTAAAATTAAAATTAATCATCAAATATTAAAAAAAATACTCATCCACTCTCAGTTATAGCTTATCGAGGTTGACAAGCTTGAAAATCATTTCAACTCATAAATAGAAATGTTGAGCCGATGATATCAATAGGATTCATTCTTAATCCATCTCTTGTTAGTAAGGACGTGGCTTGTGTCCTCTAACCTATGGGTTTTCCACCAAATGACACAACAGGTAAATGATTATGACTTGAATCCTCTAACTGAGTGGTTTTGCTGTCAAATGACACCATTAAATTATGGTCATGATCAGATCTTGTATGTTCCCCAACGGTGATAAATCTTTGAGTAATGAATTAATAGGATATAATTGGTAGGGCACAATGCTCTCTGTTAGCTAAGGTGGATTCAAATATGTCCCCTTAGAAAAACATTCATTCCAAGTCTATAAGATACCCTTAGACGAAGCAACCAATGACTGTCGACAAGGATCGTCCTTCTATCGGGTTTGGTCGACTAGCTCCTCTAAGCAGACCAGAGACCTTGATAATCTGGGACGACGGAACCATGGTATCTTGATCGGGTTCATCATCGTTCCCCCCCCCTCTACTTTAAGTGCAAGGTGGCAAATTTCTAAATTTAAATATTAAATTTTCAAATACCAAATCATGCTACTACTATACGTCAAATACTACATATCTATTTGACGACTAGGCTTAATGAAAGTTCTCTCTCTTTACCGGGAGAGATAATTAATTATGGGGATTTGCACCTATAAGAAACCTAAACTCATATCATAAAGTTTTCGCAAATGAGGTCAAAATCTTTGGGTAATGTCTTATTCAAAATCCAATATGCCTTCTGAAAATTTGCCTCGAAACTTAAATGTTAAAACTGTCCTCAACAATCTAAAAGAAAAAAGAAATTGGCCGCAGAGAGGTCATGACACGAATTTTTGGAGCCCACATCGGCCCATCTTGGCTCTAATGGTAAGGATGCAAAATATTCCCATGGAACACTAGATAAGGCTTGAGCTACATCTCAAACTCATTTATAGATGGCTTAGTCCACATGCTTGACAATTGAGTGGTCCATCATAATAATGAACTAACCCCTTCATTGCACCATTATGGCTAGGATCCACATGCAATTATGTCTCTTTGCATTTGGATCGACCAATTTTTTATTCTCCTTATGTCTTCATGCAATAAAGGTGTGTTTGTAATAGCTTTTTGATCATTTTCGTGGCAAGAAAATTGTTAGTAAAAAATAACATGTATTTAAAAGATGCTTCTAAACTATTATTTTAAATTTTTGTTTGAAAAAGTTATTTTTGGGAATGCATTTTTTTAAAAAAAATTGTGACAAAAAATAGACACAACTCACATTGGTCTGTTGGTTGAGAGCTTTAGCTACCAACCAAGAAGTCTTGTCTTCGAGTCTTGCGTATGTAATGTGTGTGCAACTTAATTGGCCTAAAAACAAAAACGGCGAAAGTAGAAAAACTTAGGCTTCATTTGCGATAACTTTATGAGTACTTTTTAAAGCATTTTTCTAATAAAAATTTTTCTCGATCTATAAATTTTTGTACTAAAAAATTACTTTAAAAAACATTAAGAAAGATGTATCAAATCAAACCTTAAATTATCCCAAACAAAGCCAAAATAGTGCCAAGTTAGTTTATTATTTTCACTCGAATTTATTTGCTGTCAAGCTACTCTACTTGTAGCTCTTTGCGACTACATTTGACATTATTAACCATGTTATTTCTTGTTGGCTTTGCTCTTTCTTACTTCTCCATTGAAAGAGGATCCTTTCTTCTTTAATTCAACATTTGTCATACATAACCCTGCGCCAAATTTTTTTGTATATTTACATATTTTTCTTATTTCACACTACATAAAATACTTACCTACAAATCTGTAATTTCTTATTTCAACTAATAGATAATTTTCTAAAATGATGTTCCATTTTATCTGCTCTTAAATGAATTTAAATAATTTAACAGAAATAAATTTATTATTGAGTAGCGACTAAGGCTTCGTTTGGGATGACTTTTTTATTATTTTGTAAAGCAGCTTTTTAGTACAAAAATTTTATTTTAATATTTATTTTTTAAGTCAAAGTTTTCTTACAAATAATCTAATATAATATCATAACTAAAAGAGTTTTTTTTTTTAATATCATTGAACATTTCTCATTTAATAATTATTTTAGACAAATTTATATGCACATAAACTTTTATAACATTTTTATAAATTTTATTATTATTAGATTTATTTCATCTCACAAGTTGATGTAAGAACGCATAATTAATATTAATCTTACTCAAATTTAATTAGCCATCAAAGTATTTCAAACAAAATTTAGAATCTGTTTGGGGCAGCAATAATATTTTGTAAAAATGATTATGAAGTTATTGTGGGAAATATAAATCTTCTAAAGTTGTTGTAAAAAGTAGTTTCTTAATACAAAAATTTCTTAAAAGTAGTACAAAATTAGTAGCCAAACAGAATCATCTATAATTACAGTTTTAAAAACAAAATAGTAAGAAAATTATTCTAAAAGAAGCCTCAATGAGTGCAGGTAATAATGGAGTTGTATTGAGTGATATAAAGTTCGGTAGAGTGAGCACCTACATGTAATCACAGTTGACAACCAACCTATCTACAGCCCAGCTCTTGTAGCAAATTAGTCCTTTTCATTCTTTATCTCCAAGCCAAATTCCAGCTCTCCACACACCTAATCCTCTCTCTCTCTCTCTCTCTCTCTCTCTCTCTCTCTCTCTCTCTCTCTCTCTCTCTTAATATTTCATTCATCATAGAAGCACCTAAAATATCACTCACAGCTCTACTTATTACCAAACCATTAGATCAAAATGAATTTATTCAAAAGAATGCTCACTAATGTTTTTAACAACTTTATGTTTTTTTTGGACATTTAAGGCAAATTCATACACACAACGCATACACAAAGACTTGAACTCAAGACCTCTCAGTTGAAAGTCTAAGCTCTAAACCAACAGGTCAAGATGAGCTGTGTAACCTTCTGTTCCCATAGCCATATTGATGTAAAGTCCTACATAGCTTTACTTGTACTAGCAAAATACTTCCACCTTGAATTGTCATAATTAATCACCAAAAAAGCATACTTCACATTCTTTACCAAACCACATGCACAAGGCCAGCTCTCCATTATAGTTTTCCTACTTTCATATAAGAAGTACTGCCTAAATCACTCTATCACATTTTAAAGGAACAAAGTTGCCCAGCTTCCTTTTTGTTAGCCCAATCTTTAGCTGTTCATCAAATTGCTTTGTAAAAAATTAGTCAGATCAGTTATATTTCAGAAGGTTTTTAATTCCATCTCCTTGTCCGAAGGCATAGCAAGTGAGCAATTATAGTTTGAATTCTCCCACCTTAAATCAAAAACTGGTTTGATGGAAGAAGAAGTGCCTTCCTTTCATCAGGTCATCAATGAGTTGATCTCCTCCACTTATTTCATTGCCACTTTACCTTTCAAGTGGCAAGCTATCAGAGACAAGCTTGAGAAGCTCAACTGGATCCTGAAGTCTGCTCCTTATAGTGGTGAATTTGTCAAGGATTCTTTGCTGCCAAAGCTGTTAAGAGATATGTCTACTGCTTTGACTGAGATCAGATTGCTTGCTGATCATTGTGGTGATGGTTCTTATAATGGAGGGAAGCTTCTGATGAAGAGTGATATTGATAAAGCATCATCAAGGCTGGATATCCTCATTAAAAATTTTACTGAATTTTATGGTTCAGGATTTCCAATGGACTCCAATGCAATCCTAGTAGCAAAGCCTGCAAATGGAGCCAGCAGAGACGACATGAAATTCTACATGGAGGAGCTCTTCTTGAGGCTAAGAATCGGAGATTTGGAGATGAAAGCATCAGCATTGGAAGCTATAAATAAGATCCTCATTGATGATGAAAAGTATATAATGATTTTGGTGATGGAGGTTGACAATGGCATTCAGGTGCTGGTAAGCTTGCTTGAATTAAGTGATGTGAGTTTGCAAGAAGAGGCATTGGCAGCAATCTTGATCATAGCAGGATTCAATTCTTATAAAGGGGCACTCGTCACTGCAGGAGTTGTCGGTCCATTGGTTCGGATTTTGGAGGCTGGAAGCAAATTGGGAAAGGTTAGATCAGGATGGACTTTGAAGAATCTGACAGAGAATTCAGATAATGTGTGGTCAGTATCGGCTAATGGAGGCGTCACAGCTCTGATCAACTTAATAGAAGATGTTGAGAGCTGTACTGAGTTGATTTATCCCATCTGTGAAGTGCTGCAGAATCTTTGCAATGTCATAGAGATCAAGAGGTTCATGGTTGAAGAAGGTGTGATTTCTGTTTTCTTGGAATTGTTGGATTCAAAAGAAGAGGCAATTCGTATTCGAGCTATTGAATTTCTCACTGCCATTGCCTCCAATGATCATGGAATTAAAGAAGAAATTGTCAGAGGAGGAGGAGCAACTTATAAACTCCTGAAGTTTTTGAATCCCAGTACTTCTCATTCAATGAAGGAAAGGGAAGTTTCCCTCAGGGCTATGGAGCAGTGCTGCTTCTCATCAACAAATTCAATAAATGTTTTGATCGGTACTAGACTAATTAGTTGGGTTATGTTCTTCTTAAATAAAGGGGATATATCAATACAGGAAGTGGCTCTTCAGGCCATGCTGAGTCTCTGTGAGGCATCAGAAGAAGCTAAGAAGGCAATGGGTGAATCTGGATTTATGTCAGTTATTGTTAAATTACTTGATGCTAAATCATCCAAGGCCTGTGAATTGGCAGCTGAATTGCTTGTAAAGTTAGTATCAGTACAGAAAAATCGGAGAAGGTTTATCAACGAAGAACAAAATGTGAACAGAATTCTAGAGTTGCTCAACCCTGGGGAGGATGCAAAAGAAGCAAAGAAATATTTGCTTCCATTGCTATCATCTTTGAGCACCAGCAACAGTGGTAGACGGAAGATCGCTGCTTCAGGTTATGCCAAGAACTTGGAAAGGCTAGCACAGATTGATGTAATAGATGCAAAGAAGATAGTTAAGAAGATAACTTGCAGCAGACTCAGAAGTTTGATGAAAGGAATCTGGAGTTTTTGATTTGTACCACAAACACTGAAGCTTATTACTGGTAAGCTTTTACAGTTTCTAATTATCTCTTTTTCTTCTCAATTTGTGGTTTTATGTACTTTTTTGTTTCCTCTTCAATTGATTTGATGTTTCTGTAATTTACCATAAATATACCAACAAAAAATAATAATAATTTGATGTATAGATTATAAGAATAGCTAGCTTCCTAGCAATGGATAGTCTGGATTGTGCTTTCGTGTTTTCTTGGATAATCTAGAAATTTCAATTTAGTTTCACACTTTGAAACCAACTTGTAAACAGCAGATGATATTTCATAGAAATGCAAGGTGAAGGATGTGGATAACAAGAATAAGTAGAACATGAACATAACCATGAGATTTTCTAAATAATCCGAGTCTATTTTCTATCACCTTATATTCCAATGAATTCACCCCAACCTTTCTTCTATTATTATAAGCATTCTTTAATTTAATTTTAATAATTTAATCATACATTTATATTAATATTCTTATTTTTTATCATATGTAACTTAGATACCAAGAACATAATATACCTTTAGGAACTGAAGTTTATACTGAGAATAACCTATTCATAACTTTTTTTACTTTACACACATCTTAATGTTTGATTTTCTTTTGTTTCCAACCAAAGACTTAAGTACCATGTGGATCTCACATGGCTCAAGTTCAGGTCCTATTTGTCAGTTCTTTCAACATCCAACTAACAAAATGGAAAAATTAGGCAAATGGTTTGTTAATGGAATGGATTCAATTAATGAGGAAATCTTTTTGTTATGCTGAATGGTAGTAATGGATACAAAAAATAAAGGATCAATGCTGGCAGGCGGCCAGAGAATTTTTCCTGTAATTTTTTTTTCTTGTTTCTTAACATCCAGAACTTCTGTTCAAGTGATGGGAGTGGAGAGCCACTTGAAGAGCCCATCTTTTGGGAGTGAATGCCATCAAAATCAGTTGTTTTTTTCTCATATACCCTCTTTGAGGTTTAAGTTTTTGGAGTATTTTGAAAAATTCGCATAAGGATGTCATATAGAACGTAATTTTAGATGTGAGATTAGTTATGGTCCTTATGGAACTTTATGTTTGGTTTGTGGAAAGATTGTGAGTGTTCCTTCAATTTGTTGTACATCATTGATACGTCACTAAAAATCATCTTGTTCGTACATGAATCTCGATGTATATTCAAGTTGAAAACTTCCAAAATTAAATGTGGGACCATATTAGCACAAATTTCAGCAAACTTATAGTCAATCTGAACGTCTTTAAGAGGCGAACCCAACGACGCCAAAATCGGTCCAATCTGAGCCCAAAGGAGTCCAAATCGGGGAAAAAAATTAAAAAAAAAGGAGTCCAAATCGGGGGCCCGATGCTTATTTGGAAGGTTCAAAGCCTAAATTGAATGATCAAATGATATCCAAATATAACATGCTTATAGTCGAATTAAGCTCAACGAGACAAATCCAACGAGTTCAAGATCGCTTAATTTTGACAGCATTAGAGCACATAAATGCTTGACAAACTCTCTATGATTGAGGGGATCAATATGGGTCAACCGATTGAGCAATCCAAAACTACCCTAAATTTTCTCTATATTTACGGGGCATGCCACTCTAAAAATATATATAAATAGACCCCCACTTCTCACATGAATGGAGGGCTTGGGGCTTGGACCTTTGGCTATAGATTGGAGAGAGCTCTAAGGCTTCAAGAGCTCCAGCACCAGTGAACCTCTGTCGACCATCGCCGGACCATTCCCCGGAAGGCGACCGCCACCAGACTTCTACTCGACCACCGCCAAACTTTCACTCTGTCGCTGACCACCGCCGAACTTTCACCTAATCATCTTTGGACCACCGCCCAATCGCTGACTGCTTTCAGACTACCACCTAGCTGTTGACCAATGTAGGACTTTCGCCCAATCATCGCCAGACTTCCACCCGTCCTCTAACCACAACAAAACTTCTATTCGGCCACCTGCCGTCACCGGACTTCCACCCTACCATCCTCGGACCACTGTCGTCTGCCAACTATGGCACCTCGAACCACCGTCACCCACGGACTACGATCCTTCCAACCGCCATCACCTGCTGATTACAGTCTGTTCGACCAGTGTTGTCCACTGACTATGGTCCCTCAGATGTACATCGCCTGCCAACTACGGTCGGTCCCTTTGACCACCATTGCCCGTCGACTACAGTCCCTCTGACCTCTGCCGCCCGCCATTTATGATCCCTCATACCTTCGTTGCCCTGCCCACTACAGATAATTCCTCCGACCACCGTACTGTCGCTAGCCGACTATGGTTGCTCCCTCCAACCACGGTTGCTCGCTGACTATAGTTGCTCAGACCTCAGTCTCCCGCCAACTATGGTCTCTCCGACAACGGTCATCCTACAACAACGGTCATCCTCCAACAACAGTCCCTCTAACCTTCGTCGCTTATTGACTACCGACTATGGTCCCTCTGAACTCCGTCACCCGTTAGTTATGATTCCTTCGACCACTGTCGCTCGCCGACTACGATTCCTCCGACCTTCTTCTCCCGCCAACTACAGTCCCTCTGATCTTCATTGCCTAAATATAGTCTGTCAACCAAACAAATATACCACCAACACTCTTTTAAGAACAACTACCATATAACAAGCTATATACAAAGTGTAGTTGCTACATGAAGCCAGTACCCTCTTCCGAGTAGGGATATTATCTGTAATCAACCATTAATACTATTTGATTCATTCAAGTTGGGTTAAGCCCCGTGATTTTTAACCATTTTCACGGGTTTCAACATAAAAACTCTAATATCTCTTATAAATGCTACGCTCTTATCTTTCATCTGTTTGTACGATGGATCTTCGTACGAAGGTAGGACGCTAAACTCCATATCTCTCTACCACCACGAATTTTCTAGTCCACAACAATCATAATTGTGGTTTTTGTATCCTCAACAAATTAGAGCCTCTCTCCTTTCTCATGGATAGAGGAACAACTAAAGCAATAAAATAAAATTTTTGACATCTCTCTGTATTATTTTCTCTTTATTTTATGGAAATTTATTCTTAATCTTGATTATGCGTCCATTTTAAATCACTCTCGTTGCAACAGGTTGCGTGCCATTTTGATATATTATGGACAATCTAATTACATAGCACAAGAATGAAATTACAAGTCATGAGACATTACTAAAGAGTTAAATATTAACTTTCATCATTCATTCGAATGATAGGAACCAAAAAGATAGGTAGTTCCATAAAATTTACCTCTCTACCTCACTTTTTAATTGAAAATCTTTCATGGAATCCACTTCAAACAATGAAGTAAAAATGGTCTTACAAAAAATTCACTGCAATGCCAAATATAAACTAGAAAGTCAAATGAAAAAAGAACCATCGAAAACATAACCAGTTCAACACCTAGCTGATGATCTAATGCTCAAAATGCTACAACACCTAGCAGTTCAACTCCTCTTCAAAGCTCAAGCTACGGAAGGGATTGACTGAGTGGCATTGCAACTATGTTCAACATTGATGGAGTTGAGCTCTAAAAGATAAATTTCTCATTCTGTCTGGATGTCTCTCTCCCCCTTTACCAAAGTCTCTGAGCCATTTGATTCCTCAAAGGACAAAAAACGCTTGCTTTCAGTTCTATCATTCTTCTCGTCTGGCTCCAGCAATGATCACGACCGCCGCTTGCTTTCCAGTTGCATGCTTCTAAGGTTATATCGGCTTGCAACAACCTTCACCTTGTTGTTCTTCACTGCCTCTTCACCGGTGACTAGATTCTTTCTCTCAAGGTTGGCATTAACTGTCTTCGCTTGTGCCTTAGCACCAACAGTTGAAACCCCTTTCTTTAACTCATTTAGAATCCTCTTCCTAGGTTTTCCTTCTTTTTCCGATTTCCTAGGGCTTAAACCTCTTCGCCTGTATCTACTAATTGAAGAACCCACAGAAACGTCCGCGGCTTTCATTTCGCAACCAGTAACTGCGGCATTGGTGGCAAATGGCTTAGCAGTGGCGGCTCTGAGATCTTTATCGGCCTTTTTAGTGCGCAATCCACTAAGCTTCACCGAAAGGCGCCGGATTTCCTTCTTGATTTCGTCAATCTCGGCATCAATGTTGCCGTCGGTGGCTGTTGCTCCACTGTTGTGCAAGCCAGAGTTCTCTGATTCTTCAGCAGAGACAAGACGTTTGCTCGGATGAACTTTGGGCAATCGCGAGAGATTGATGGAGATGGGCTGGAGAGGAAGCCAGTTTGACCTGGCATAATCGGCGGCGGTGTTGTCCCGATCGTGGAGATTTGGAGAGTGGAGAGAGAAAATCATCGATTCAGCGTTTGGAAGGTGATAGTTTTTAAGTTGGGAGAGGAATTTGATTTTCATAATCATAGGATGGAGAAGATCTTGGTCTATGTATGGGCTTGGATTTGTTCAAGCAGGGGTTCATTTTTGGGAATAGTGCGGATTTTGTAAATTGTAATTCGGATTTTTGACCGTTGGAGATAAAAATTGAACGTTGAAAGTAATTGAATACTGGCCGTGGGATGAGAAATTATTTTTATTTATTTCATCTTCATTGACAAATTTTAAAAATTACTTCATTTAAAAAATTATATAATAGTTAAAATAAAATTTAACTAATATTTACGTTTCAAAAAGGATATGTATTTAGTAATAATTTTTTTATTAACTCTTATACAACAACAACAACATCAAGCCTTTATCCCACTACGTGGGGTCGGCTACATGAATCCTTTTTCTCCATTGAGTCCTATTAAAAGCCAAATTCTCGTTTAAATCTAATAAAGAAAGGTCATTCCTAATATTTTCTAACCAAGTCTTTTTAGGTCTACCCCTACCTTTCTTAACACAAGTCAAATCTAATACCTCTACTCTCTTAACTCTTATATTAATGAAATTAAGAAAAATAAGAAAAAAAAAAACTCATTTTAAATACAACCATGAGTAGAACTACATGTTGGGTGGATCAACTTAATGGA